CATACATCATGACCAAGTGGGCTTTATCCCAGGAATGCAAGGATTCTTTAATATCCGCAAATCAATCAATGTAATACACCACATTAACAAATTGAAAGATAAAAACCATATGATTATCTCAATAGATGCAGAAAAAGCCTTTGATAAAATTCAACATCCATTCATGATTAAAACTCTCCAGAAAGCAGGAATAGAAGGAACATACCTCAACATAATAAAAGCTATATATGACAAACCCACAGCAAGCATCACCCTCAATGGTGAAAAACTGAAAGCATTTCCCCTGAAATCAGGAACAAGACAAGGGTGCCCACTGTCACCACTACTATTCAACATAGTTTTGGAAGTTTTGGCCACAGCAATCAGAGCAGAAAAAGAAGTAAAAGGAATCCAGATAGGAAAAGAAGAAGTGAAACTCTCGCTGTTTGCAGATGACATGATCCTCTACATAGAAAATCCTAAAGACTCTACCAGAAAATTACTAGAGCTAATCAACGAATACAGTAAAGTTTCAGGATATAAAATTAACACACAGAAATCTCTTGCATTCCTATACACTAACAATGAGAAAACAGAAAGAGAAATTAAGGAAACAATACCATTCACCATTGCAACAAAAAGAATAAAATACTTAGGAGTATATCTACCTAAAGAAACAAAAGACCTATACGCAGAAAACTATAAAACACTGCTGAAAGAAATCAAAGAGGACACAAACAGATGGAGAAATATACCGTGTTCATGGATTGGAAGAATCAATATTGTCAAAATGGCTATACTACCCAAAGTGATCTACAGATTCAATGCAATCCCTATCAAACTACCAACGATATTTTTCACAGAACTAGAACGAATAATTTCACAATTTGTATGGAAATACAAAAAACCTCGAATAGCCAAAGTAATCCTGAGAAAGAAGAATGGAACTGGAGGAATCAATCTGCCTGACTTCAGACTATACTACAAAGCCACAGTCATCAAGACAGTATGGTACTGGCACAAAGACAGAAATATAGATCAATGGAACAGAATAGAAAGCCCAGAGATAAATCCACAAACCTATGGTCACCTTATCTTTGACAAAGGAGGCAAGGATATACAATGGAAAACAGACAACCTCTTTAACAAGTGGTGCTGGGAAAACTGGTCAACCACCTGTAAAAGAATGAAACTAGAACACTTTCTAACACCATACACAAAAATAAACTCAAGATGGATTAAAGATCTAAATGTAAGACCAGAAACTATAAAACTCCTAGAGGAGAACATAGGCAAAACACTCTCCGACATAAATCACAGCAGGATCCTCTATGACCCACATCCCAGAATTTTAGAAATAAAAGCAAAAATAAACAAATGGGACCTAATGAAACTTAAAAGCTTTTGCACAACAAAGGAAACTATAAGCAAGGTGAAAAGACAGCCCTCAGATTGGGAGAAAATAATAGCAAACGAAGCAACAGACAAAGGATTAATCTCAAAAATATACAAGCAACTCCTCCAGCTCAACTCCAGAAAAATAAATGACCCAATCAAAAAATGGGCCAAAGAACTGAACAGACATTTCTCCAAGGAAGACATACAGATGGCTAACAAACACATGAAAAGATGCTCAACATCACTCATTATCAGAGAAATGCAAATCAAAACCACAATGAGGTACCACTACACACCAGTCAGGATGGCTGCTATCCAAAAGTCTACAAGCAATAAATGCTGGAGAGGGTGTGGAGAAAAGGGAACCCTCTTACACTGTTGGTGGGAATGCAAATTAGTACAGCCACTATGGAAAACAGTGTGGAGATTTCTTAAAAAGCTGGAAATAGAACTGCCATATGACCCAGCAATCCCACTTCTGGGCATACACACCGAGGTAACCAGATTTGAAAGAGACACGTGTACCCCAATGTTCATCGCAGCACTGTTTATAATAGCCAGGACATGGAAGCAACCTAGATGCCCATCAGCAGATGAATGGATGAGGAAGCTGTGGTACATATACACCATGGAATATTACTCAGCCATTAAAAAGAATTCATTTGAATCAGTTCTAATGAGATGGATGAAACTGGAGCCCATTATACAGAGCGAAGTAAGCCTGAAAGATAAAGACCATTACAGTATACTAACACATATATATGGAATTTAGAAAGATGGTAACGATAACCCTATGTGCAAAACAGAAAAAGAGACTCCTATGTATAGAACAGACTTGTTGACTCTGGGAGAAGGCGAGGGTGGGATGTTTCAAGAGAACAGCATTGAAACACGTATATTATCTAGGGTGAAACAGTTCACCAGCCCAGGTTGGGTGCATGAGACAAGTGCTCGGGCCTGGTGCACTGGGAAGACCCAGAGGGATTGGGTGGAGAGGGAGGTGGGAGGGGGGTTCAGGATGGGGAACACATATACACCTGTAGCGGATTCATGTCAATGTATGGCAAAAACCAATACCATATTGTAAAGGAATTAGCCTCCAATTAAAATAAATAATTTTTTTAAGTGTCAAAAAATAAATAAATAAATAAATAAAATTTGTAGTATTTATTTTAAAAAAAAAAAAAAAAAGAAAGGAAGCTACTGATGTGAGACCTCTTCGTGCTTCCCATGCGTGCCTACCTACCGTGTTAGTTACTTAAAGTTCCACCTTGGACAGAGAAGGGCAGATCCATCATTCACTTTAATGAGTGGTGCTTTGAAAATAATCCCCTTCCATGGAGCCAGCAGGGTTCAACATTTCTCATACCTGGCTGGACTTACTAGTTCAGACTGTAGAACTCTAGAGCAACAGTAACATATGGGCTCAGTAAGGAATCTGCTGAAGTTGTACAAGAAGGCGATGTTTTTTATTTTGTATTGTTTGGGTCAAGCTGACCCACGGAAGAGATGCTGAAGAGCACAGAACTTGAATATGCAGTCAGGGAAATTTACATCTATCCTAAAAATTGGGGATTATTTCATCTGCATATTTATGATTGATTGTTGGAAAAAAAGATGCAAGAATCTTTTCCCCAGATTCTACCTTGTCTTTGCAAATTAGGTACATGGTGAGTCCCCTGAGAGCTGTAACTCTGCACTACACTTAACATCCAAACAGCTGGAAGGAAACTTAAAGGTCAACTACTCTGATTACTCATATAATATATAATAACTATACAGCATTCCTGACACACAGCCATAACTCTGCTTAAAAACATTCATGAACAAGAAACTTACTACCTCAAAAAGCCATTCAGCATCTTTTCATGTGCGTACTGGCCTTCTGCATGTCTTCTTTAGTGGAGTCTAAAAGATGGCCCAAGTAAACCTATTTACAGAACAGAAACAGACTCAGACCCAGAGTAGACTGTGGTTGGCAGGTGGGAGGGGGCATGGGAGAGGGGTGGACTGGGAGGTTGGGGTTGGTAGATGCAAACTATTACATTTAGAACAGATAAACAAGGTGCTACTGTATAGCACAGGGAACCATGCTCAATATCCTCTGATAAACCATACTGGAAAAGAATATTTAAAAAGAATGCATCTATGTGTATAACTGAGTCATTCTTCTGCAGAGCAGAGATTGGCACAACACTGTAAATCAACTATACTTCAATAAATTTTTTTTCTTAAAAAGTTATTCAGTCCATGTTTGGGCATTCCAAAGGTCAGGACAGTCTCTGCAAACTTTCTCAGCTTAATACCCATAATACCAAAGGCAGTACTTCTAAGGGAAAGATAGCTAAATGTGACTACATTTAAAAATAATAATAAATCAAACAAAAATATCCCTGTATGTATAAGGATAGGTTAGACTATGCTACAGTAATAAAAAAAAAACAAAAACAAAAACCCAAATCATAGCAATTCAGTAAAACAAAGGTTTATTTTGTTTCCACACTTTGTAAGTAGGAGGCACCACCCATTTTTGTCACTTGGGGATGCAGGTAGACACTGTCTCCAACTCTGCCATGACCACACGCTGCCACAATCCGAGCAGAAGAGGAAGTTACACCTTCACCCACAAGTAACACAGTCACAGGGCTCACAGAGGCAGACACGACAGAGGGTCTGAGCACGGGCACACGAACATAACCACTCACATAATCGCTCACGTTAAAGCAAGTGTGTGTGTGCTCACTCGCTCTGTGACGTCTGACTCTTTGCAACCCCACAGACTGTAGCCCATCAGGTTCCTCTGTTCCTGGGGTTTTCCAGTCAAGCATAATGCGGTGGGTTGCCATTTCCGCCTCCAGGGGGTCTTCCTGGCCCAGAGATCAGACCCATGTCTCCAGAGTCCCCTGCACTGGCAGGTGGGGTCTTTACCACTAGCACCACCTGGAAAGCTCCAGAGTGAGTCATATAATCAAGCATAATTTCAAAGAGGGTAGGAGACAGTGCTCAAAAAAACTTGACCATTACTTTTCTGGTTAAAAAGCAAAATATTACAGATAGCATTAAATGATACAGGACAAATTAGCTAAAATTACTCAAAATACACACAGCAAAAACATATGCTATCTTTTATGTAGGGTAAACTCTTAGAACTCAGTTTAAAAAAAAAAAGCATTAATTACCTCCAATATGTATATTAATTAAATGTAATTAATATGTATACATATTAATAAAAGGCCTGAAAAGAGAAGACTGTAAAGGATAGAGATAATATTTTAACAGATATGGCCAAATACTTAATCTCATTGGTAATGAAACACTGATACAGTACTTGTAAAAATATAAGCCAGTACTCATGGAATAATTATACTGTATCAGGCACTGTAGTTAAAATTTATACACATTACCTGAATGTTTCCCCTATTTTGCTACAAGATGCATATCATTTATTCATCCACCTTAGAGATGAGGCTGAATATATTAAATAAACTTCTCAGGGTCATTCAGCTTGCAATCACGGAGCTGGGTTTCAAATCCAGGTGTGTCTGAACTTCTAAGCCATATTTAAATATGAATGAAAATTATAATGTAAATGAAAATCATAATCATCACTCCTTTTTTTTTAGAGTTACAATGCCAGCATTGAAAAAGCAGTGAAATCTGATGGACAGCGCAGGTACAGATTCTTAAAATCTTTCTAGAGAGGATTTAAATTGTATCTAAAAGAAAATTCCCTGTACACAGTCTGACTCACCAATTCTACTTGTAGTAATCAAATAGAATACTTAGAATAAAAGGAAATAATCAAAGTTGGGAAGAAAAACACACCGTTTGAGGGCTGATTCTGTAAGCAAGGGCACAGAGTGTCTGTCCACAGGCACTTTCAATCCTGCAGTAATCATGGAAATCTGAAAGTCCCTCTCTTCACTGCGGAAAAGCTCAGGCATGTGAAGTAGCCACTATACCACATCTGTTGCTATCTACTGAGTCCAAACTAGATTCCCTGTGCAAAGAATCCAAGACGCCCATGTGGTTCTCTTCTGTGTTCTGTTCTGGCTCTCCTGTCAGTTCCACTACGTAAAGGTTTCATCACTGCCGAGAAACCACCACCATTTACTGAGCACACTGAGTAAAGTACTCGGGAAAACTAGATAAACAGACAAACCATAGCTCCTCTTTCCAAAGTGGTTCCCTAGCGGAGATAATCTCCACACAATATGGTAACACACTTTGATATTATATGTTAGCCAGGACACGAAGAGATAGGGAAGGCAGCAACTCCATCATCAAGGAGGCAAGGAAGACTTCCTGGAGGAAGTGAAAGTCGCTCAGTTGTGTCCGACTCTTTGCAACCCCATGGACTATACAGTCCATGGAATTCTCTAGGCCAGAATACTGGAGTGGGTAGCCAATCCCTTCCCCAGAAGATCTTCCCAATCCAGGCATAGAACCCAGGTCTCCCCCACTGCAGATAGATTCTCTACCAGCTGAGCCAGCCAAGAATACTGGAATGGGTAGCCTATCCCTTCTCCAGGGGATCTTCTGAGCTCAGGAATCGAACCGGGATCTCCTGCATTACAAGTGGATTCTTTAGAGGGTAACAATTAATTTGAGGTAATTTAATTGCGATACGTTTGAGTTACCCAGGTAAGAAGTCAACAGTCATCCAGGCCAGGGAAGCAGGATAAACAAAGCCATACAGGCATGAAATAGCATCATAGGGGTTCACTGTGTCAAACTTTTGTGGTCTCATCTGTGGGGCTGACTTTGGAACTTCTGGCGCAAACTTTGGAGGAGAAAGAAAATAGGAAAACTTGTACCTTGTTATCTGCAGCCTGTAAGCCTGTCATTCAGTAACAGATAATAAAATTCTGTCTCATGACTATTTTTTCCCCTTTCACTGCTCGCCTTAAATTCAATACAACACCACGCATATTGATTTGGGATTTGAACGTGCTATATATTTAAAGAAAAGGGCAGGCTGAAAATGTGAGGTGATAAATCAAAAGCTACCAGAACCTTGTGTGATATGCACTTAATGGGCAAAAACAGGAGTTCCCTTTCAAATGTGAATGTTGTTTACTGATATGATGAATGGGCGTTAAGTTCCATTCCTCTGAGCATTCTTTTTATTATTACAGTTAAATGATGGTTTCAAATAAGCTGCCTTGCTTCCCTCTGAGACTCATCCCAGGAATGTAGAGGTGAAAGACTACCCAGCCTGGGAGAATTTGCTGGTTTTTTCTGTAATACGTGGTATCCCACGAAAGCACCATTGATTCATCAAGCGTTTATCCTTTGTAAGAAAGATCGCACCCACCTTAAGGAACCAGAAAAAATATGCACTTTAAAATTGTACCCAAGGCAATTACAAACTGGGATCAGGAAGAAACTGTGCAGCTGGGATTAATACAATGTACTGAAAATCATTCTCCAATTTCACAGTTATCTTTGTACAATCATATATCAATTTAGGTAAATATTACAGGAGAATACAGTCAGATATGTATAGATACTTAAAATTTTAATTCTGGGACAAGTGCATATTCCTATGCAACTAGAAAAAGTGATAGCAGCTCTTTTGCCCCTTTCCCCTTTGCCCATTTCATTCCCTCCTAACCTTAGAAAAAGCTAATTATAGGAATGAGATCATCAAGCAATTGGAACTAACTCCAGACTTATGCTCACCTGATGTACACCATGCCTTGTCTAATCTGTTGATTCTTTCTCTAGATAAAAAGAAGTAAGAATGAAGAATTCAGCAGTTAAAAGATGACTAGCTCTGTTTGTCCAACAGCCCCATGAGCAATTCTGTAGGTAGATCACACACACATATCTGAAGGAAGTCCTCCAGTCTGCACTCAGTGGATAGTGATGTAGAACCCAACCTCATGCCTCGAAGATTCACTGAGGTTCCTCCCCATCATGTTCACTTTAAAACACGGCTCAGCAAAATCTCTGGAGTTGGTCTCTGGACACGAATCCACCAACTCCCCAGATTGCCGGTTTTTCTAATTAAAACATTTTTCCTTTCTATTGACACATCTCTCTTGGATAACTGGCTTATCAGCAGCAATCAGTCAAACCTGGGTTCATTTACAAAAGTAGTATAGAGACATATCATGCCAACTTAATCATGATGCTCCCAGGGATAACATTCTCTGAACATCTAGTCCAACACCATGACCAGCATATTGACGTTAATGCAAAGACACAGAACATTTTCACCGTAAGAGTCCTCATTTTGCCCTTTTATAGCCCACACCTATTTCCCTTACATTCCCCTCCACACTGTACTCTCTTCCCTTCCATTCCCCTCTCTCATCTTTCTTTAATCCCTCGTGACCACTGATCTGATCTCTATTTCAATAATTTCAAGAGTTATATAAAGAGGATCATTCCTGGTACAATCTTTTGGGACTGAGTTTTGGCCCAAGCATGATTCTCTGGAGATCCATCCATCCATGATTCTCCATGTGTATCAATAGTGTGTTGCTTTTTACCACAGTGAAGTATTTCATGGTATTGCTGGACCACAGTTTAATTGTTCATCAACTGAAAGACAGGGGGTAGTTTCCAGTTTCTGACTATTATTAAAAAAGCTATAAATATTGCTATCAGATGTTTGTGTAAACATAAGTGTTCCAATTCTCTTGAGTAAAGATTGTTATTGTTGTTGAATTGCTAAGTCATGTCCAACTCTTTGTGACCCCATGGACTGTGGCATGCCAGGCTCCTCTGTCCTCCACTATCTCCTCAAGTTTGCTCAAATTCATGTCCATTGAGTTGGTGATGCTATCTAACCATATCATCCTCTGTCAACCCCTTCTTTTGCCTTTAATCTTTCTAGCATCAGGGTCTTTTCCAGTGAGTTGGCTCTTTGTATCAGGTGGCCAGATTACTGAAGCTTCAGATTAAGAAACAGTTTTTCCAATAAATATTGAGGACTGATTTCCTTTAGGACTGACTGGTATGATCTCCTTGCATCCAAAGGATTCTCAAGAGTCTTCTCCAGCACCATGATTTGAAAGCATCAATTTTTTTGGCACTCACCCTTCTTTAAGGACCAATTCTCCCATCTGTAGACGACTATTGAAAGAACCATAGCTATGACTATATGGACCTTTGTTGGCAAAGTGATGTCTCTGCTTATTAAAATACCATCTAGATTTGTCATAGCTTTCCTTCCAAGGAGCAAGCATCTTTTAATTTCATGGTTGCAGTTATCATCTTCAGTGATTTTGGAGCCCAAGAATATAAAATTTGTCATTGCTTCCACTTTCCCCACTTCTGTTTGCCATGAAGTGATGGGACCATATGTCATGATCTTAGTTTTTTCAATGCTGAGTTTCAAGCCAGTTTTTTCACTTTCCTCTGTCACCCTCATCAAGAGGCTTTTGGTTTCTCTTTACCTTTTGCCGTTAGAGTGGTATCATCTGCATATCTAGGGTTGTTGCTATTTGTCCCAGCATTCTTGATTCCAGCTTGTGATTCTTCCAGCCTGGTGTTTTCCATGACATACTCTGCATATAAGTTAAATAGCCAGGGTGACAATATCTAGCCTTGTTTGCTACTTTCCCAAGTTTGAACCAGTCTGTTGTTCCATGTCCAGTTCTAATGGTTGCTTCTTGACCCACATTCAGGTTTCTCAGGAAAAATGTAAAGTGTTCTGGTATTCCCATCTCTTTAACAATTTCCACAGTTTGTTATGATCCACACAGTCAAAGGCTTTAATATAATCAATGAAACAGAAATAGATGTTTTCTTGAATTCACTTGTTTTCCCCATAATCCAACAAATGTTGGCAATTTGATCTCTGGTTCCTCTGTCTCTTCAAAACCCAGCTTGTACAACTGGAACTTATCTGTTCATGTACAGCTGAAGCCCAGCTTGAAGGATTTTGACCATAACCTTGCTAGCATGTGAAATAAGTACAACTGTATAGTAGTTTGAACATTCTTTGGAGTTGTCCTTCTTTGAGATTGGAATGAAAACTGACCCTTTCCAGTCCTGTGGCCATTGCTGAGTTTTCAAATTTGCTGAGATATTGAGTGCAGCAGTTTAACAGCATCAGCTTTTATGATTTTTAATGGCTCAACTGGAACTCTGTCACCTACACTAGGCTTTCTTCATAGTAATGCTTCCTAAGGCCCACTTGACCTCACACTCCAGGATATCTGGCCCTAGGTGAATGACCACATCATCATGGTTATCCAGGTCATTAAGACCTTCCTTGTACAGTTATAAGTATCCTTGCCACTTCTTCTTAATCTCTTCTGCTGCTTGTTTTTTAATGAAATTTTCAAATTGTCCCTCAGAGTGGCTATCCTGTTTTACATTCCCCCCAGTAATGAAATGACATGGTTTCTCTATATTCTTGTAAGCATTTGATGTTATCACTAATTTTTATTATAATAATTCTAATAGTAAGTAGTTATGTATTATTATGGCTTTAAGTTGCATTTTCCTTATGGATAAAAACGTTAAATGTATTTTCTTGTTCTTTTTTGTCATGTTCATATCCTGTTTAGAAAAATGTCTCTTCAAGCCTATTGCCCATTTTCTAATTGAATTATTTGTTTGTGTTTACGACTGAGGTTTGAGAGTCCTTTATATATTCTATATTCGTCTTGGACAGTGGTTAGCAAATATTTTTGCTTCTTTTCAGCCTTTTAA